TGCATCTTTTTCCCTAAGTGTTACATCCTTATCCTAAAACCTGAACTAAACATCAAGGAACAATTGATTAAGAGAAACACTTAAGCAGAAATTTCAATGTGTAATAATCTGGAATCATATTAAAGTATACAAATATTCCATTACTGAAACTACTATCTTTTTTCCAGTTTTGAGGCATTCCTAATAACATAACCTTTAGCTGACTTCTGTAAAGAATAATATAATTTGAAATTAACCTATGAAACGACTAGGTGAACTTTTGTAGTAATAGTTTAAGCTTTTACTTTCACTTTCACTTGGTAGAAAAGAAGCAGAACCCTGCTGTACCACACAAAAAAGAGACCATGAATTGGACATCTTGCTATTATTAATAGTGATTAGAACTGATTGTAGAAGAAGAAATGAGGGAGAACATAATTTGCCATCCATCCTAAACTCTCTATGATAGCTTTAAAGTATACCAAGTTTTTCAAAAGCTGCCAAAAAGTCAAAAGACAAAGATGGTTATATACACCATCTCTATCCCACTCTCACTAGAGAGCATCCATGACAGCAACAAATGCTACTTCTGCCCCAGGCCCTGGCCTGAAACATGTCCAGCTAATTTGTTTTCTCCATGGAGCTCTGGAGTTACAATACTACTGCCTTCTCAGCCAACTCCCTAAAACAATGGTGGCATTTGCATTCTGGAGGACCTTGTCAACTCCCACAAGTTTAACAGAATCAAACCAATCCCATGCTGATGAGGTCACTTATGCTGTTATCATTTTAGTGGCTGCTAATATAGAGCACTTAGAGAATCTTTCACTGAAGTCTGTTGGAAAATATTAAAAAGCAGGCATACCAATCTAAGAGTTTGAAGTGACCACAAACCTAATCTTCCTAGGTTCTGAATCTCATGGGGATAAAAACAGTACGCAAAATAGTGCACAATGTTGAGACTGCATCTGTCTGCGGTTGTATATATAGTTGTTAAAGAGTGACTATGAGAATGGATTAGGTAATATAAAATGATGCCTTTGAAGTGTAGTGCTGGAAAATATTCTTTAGAATATCTTTGAGCACATGATATGTTATAGTACTAGTTAAAGAAAACCTAAGCATTCATTTGAAGCAGTAATAACAAAAGTAAAACTATATATTAGATACATTATGTGAAGGCATTAAAAATAGGCTGATGCTTTGAAAAACTGAAGGCAAAAAATCTGAAAGAAAATGAGATAGAAAATACTGGAAGAAATCCTAGTGGAATGGTCTCATTGGAACAGTGAGTTAGAAATGATTGAATGATTGAACAATAAAGTAAAATGAAGGTCCTCTTGACAAAAGACTCATGTTTTACCCATGAACATTTATAGATTCTCGAGAATAGTGACCATGTGAAATGAAAGATCAGAAGTAACTTCTCCTTTTACATCAGTTGGATTACTGAGTTTATTATAATTGAGGTTTGGTACAATTATTTTCCACCTAGATAGAAGTTTTAAAATGTTCTGAAGTCATCTTTTCATTGTAACAAAAGAGAGAAAGGACAACGAGGCTCTCATAACATTGCATGAAGGTTCAGGCCTGTTGCAGGTCACTTCAGCCTAAAACCCAGACATAGGGTTGAAAATGACTCCCAGAAATAGGGTTGAAAATGAAACCAATTTTCCAGATTTTACTATTTAGTGTTTGGTTATATGGCTCTTAATTTATTCTGCTTATTCCTAAAGTATATTTTCTATTGATTTCAATTGAAGCAATGCCTTCATAGAACTGTAATTTTTACCTCTTTTTACCCTATGAATCTATTGCCAGTTGTGTTTTCTAATGTATTGTATTTTATTTATTGTAGCAGAGATCTTCTCAGGGTTACATACTGAATACCTTTTGAATAATGTTTTTTGTTACTTACAAGAGAAGCAGGAAATACCACAATTTGGGCTCTATAACCATAGAAGCAATTTACATCCAAGAAGAATTTCCCCAGAAGATCTGCACATCTATGTAAAAACATGGGCAGAATATTTATTTTTTTCCAACCATGAAAAGCTTTATGTCATGGCCCATGATTCAGATTTAAAAACTGACTTCAATTCTTACAAATTGCTCCAGCTGAATCAAGGACAGCTGGAATTTTCAAGCCATAATTCATCTGAAAATACTGAACCATTACAAGCATCTTCTGATCAGTTGGAGCAGCTGGATGAGGCCTAATGCATGAAGAGCTGAGCAGAGCAGTGACAGTCAATGAGATTTCCCACTAGGCAAAGCTCAAGCAATTGCATCCAGCCAACCCTGTAGACAGATTTATGTAGCTGGTCTGCTTTTAATCTTTCCTGAAAACAACCATTTAGAACTATTTTGGGCCACTCTATTGTTGCTTAAACTTCAAATGGACTTATTTAGGTAAACTTTCTTTGCACAGACCATGATTTACAATCTTGATGGCCAGTTGTTGTTGGCCAGCTATTAAGTTATTGATTGCTGTTTACTTATACTAGAAGGCCCTTGGGACCTAGCAAGCTGGTGGTAAATCAGGAATCTTGTTGACTGACAAGGGGCCATTTCCCAGGCTTCAATCATTTCTCAATCACAGAGGTGTCAAATTCACGTTGTCGTGGCATCATCATGTGATGTATTGGGACATTTTTCCCCTTCAGTAAATTAGGCATGGGCATGGCCAGTGCATGATGCATCCGGCCCATGAGCCTGGAGTTTGACAGCTCTGCTCTTTCACTTCTACTGAAAAAAATGCCTTATATGAGTTTATCTAGTCTTTGTTTCAGAATTTTCATTAAAGCTGCTTACAGGTAATCAGTCCTTCACTTACAACCACAACTGAGATCAGAATTTCCATTGCTAAGTAAGGAAAGTGAATTGTACCCAATTTTACAATCTTTTTTTGGTATGGTTGTTAAGTGGATCATTGCAATTTTTAAGTGAATCACACCGTTGCCAAACAAATTCAATTTGCCCCATTGACTTTGCTTGTCAGAAGCCATCTGAGAAGGTTGCAAATTGTAAGTTGCAAATTGTAAGTTGATATGACCCTGGGATGCTACAATTAATGTAAATACATGTGGTGTTGGAATTTTGAATATGTGACTGTGAGGCAACTGTGACAATGATAAGTGTAAGAATCAGTTATAAGTTTCTTCTTTCACTGCCATTGTAACTTCAAATGGTCACTAAACAAATGACTGTAAGTTGTTGTGACTGCCTGTATTTTCAACAGGCAATCAAACTGTGAATGTTCCCTTTGATCATTATATTCCCTATTCTGCAATGCTCTTACAGGAACTGGAAGAGGTCACTCATAGAGAAGAGGGTATTTTGTGCTTTCAATTTAGTTAGAACAGAGTGGAACAGTTGCCAAGAGAAAAGCTTCAGCAGTAATACCCTTTCCATGCCATGGATTATGTTACAACATTGTATAAACTATTTTTTATTTCTTGAGTCTACTTGTTTTGCCATTAATCTGCATTAGGATGTGTATTTTCAAAGGATGCATAAATTGTGTTTCAATCAAACCACATTTTTAATGAAATTTTGTTGGATGTACATCATCCAAATAAACATATTATCAACATTTTAGGCTGAGTACGAATTTAGATTATTTCATTACGAAATGTTGGATCCAAATCCATTACTCATAACAATACTAAGTTTTCCTGAGAAAGTAAGATAAAAATCTGATTTCATTTTGATTGTATTCTAACCTTTATTTTTTTACTTTAAGTGCACTACAGTATTTTACATAAACAAACTTTCATAAATATGGCTATTTATCAGTATGTTTTTATATATATATATCTGTAGTTGTTTTTCCCTGTTTTATCTGTTGTGTGTCACACAGTTACTTTTGTTGAGATAGCTGGCTGTATATTATTTATCTGTCTATCAAATTTATATAATAAACTTCATCTAACATAAGTCATATGTCAATTAGATCAATCAATCATTCAATAGAATATTGCAATTGAAAGTATTTGCTGGCTTGATTAAATGCCTAGGCAGAAGATAAAATGCAAAAGGGTAAAATAGATTAAATTGACATAACCACAATATTCCAAGTGATCTTTTCAGGGAATGGTGCATTGTGTTATGTTGTATAATCTGCAACGAATACTTATAATTAAGGAAAGCCCACTAATAGCTACTTTATCTTTTTCGCTTTATTATTGCGTCTCTTTTGTTTAGTTCTGGCCTCAGCAAAATAATGTAGCATTTGGGGAAAAAGATGAAAGCCAGAAGTCCAGTGGTAGAAGCCAACATAGAGAAGATTTTTACTACCACCATGTATTTTCCCTTAGTGCTCAAGTATGTAGGAATAAAGGATATCCAAACACTGCAAAAGACCAACATGCTGAAGGTGATGAACTTGGCTTCATTGAAACTGTCAGGTAACTTCCTTGCTAAGAAAGCCACAAGGAAGCTCACAAAAGCCAGGAAGCCCATGTAACCTAGGACACAATAGAAAATGGCAGTTGACCCGTCATTACACTCTAACACAATTTCTTCAGCCATTGAGTGCATATCAAAATCAGGAAAAGGGGGAGTAGTAGCCAACCAGATAAAGCATATAGCTGCTTGAATAGAAAAACAGAATAGAATTATAGCATTGGCTAGTTTTTTTCCCATCCACTTTCTCATTCTAGATCCTGGTTGGGTGGCAAGGAAGGCCACAATGACAGTAACATTTTTTGCTAGCACACATGAAACAGCCACTGAAAAGATGATTCCAAAAGCCATTTGGCGGAAGAGACAAGTCAACTTCTGGGGTTGGCCAATGAAGAGTGATGAAGACAGGAAGCAGAGGAGAAGGAAAACAAGGATGGTGTAAGTGAGGCTCCTGTTGTTGGCTTTGATAATAGGAGTGTTGCGATACTTTATAAAAATCCATAATATCCAAACTGTGATGAAAAAAAAGAAATATGAAGAAATAGCTAACGCCATTCCCAAGGGTTCCTCATAAGACAAGAAGGAAAACATTTTAGGGATGCATTGATTTTGTTCCTTGTTAGGATAATGATCTTCTTGACAGGAGTTGCAGGCTTCCATGTCTAAAAGAAAGAAAAGTTGAAATGTAAATGTTGTTGTTTAACCATGTCTGACTCTTGTTGATTTTATAGACATAGAATAACAGAGTTGGATGGGACCTTAGAGATCATCTAGTCCAACCCCCTGCTCGAGCAGGAGAGATAGGAAAGTGTCCTCTATGCTGCCTTGTCAACCACAGCTTCTTTCAGTTGTTGGATGTTCAACATTCAGCATTAGTTTTGATCAAACCATATCACATCAAACCATATGTGAATAAGATTTTACAAGTTCTGTTTTTCAGCTGCAGAATTTATGCCAAGGTATGTTCTTGATATCTATTACGGAATCAGAATCCAAACTCATAAGGTTATCCCTATAGGCTGATGCCATAACAAATTGAATAATATCTTTCCCCCTAAATGTTGCTCATACTAGTACTGCCCACAGAACTTGGAAGAATAAGACTATTTGAAAAGCACTTAGATACCTGATGATGCCATCAGCTGGGAAATGAAGGCTTAAGATAAGAATTCTGAGATCCCAGAAAAACATACTGAAGCAAAATTCCAGAGCAAATGAATTATCTTAAGGACATTAGAATTTGATAGTTCTAAATGAATTGACAAGGTATTATTCTTAGATAAGTCAATGTAAACAGAAAATTTAAGATTTTAGAAAACTGCCACTTTGATCTCATTTATTTTTTATTAGAACTGATCTACACAGAAGGTTTAACAATATGATGGATTAGAAATATTATACCTGCTTGAGGAGAAACCTTTCCTTCTGAACATCGAACACAATCATAGCAGCAAAATGGCTTCCCTTCTTTCTTTTTCTTATGACAACCAGGAGGGCAGATGACATTGCAGAGAGAAAGGGGTATTACCTGTTTGAATAGAATGAAGATAATATTACCAAGAAATAAATCATTTCAAAATCTTTGGTTTTAAGTATAATAAATATGGTCTCTCATCGAATAAAAACATCATTTATCTGAGTAATGTTCCTTTGGATTTGACAAAAGTAGGAATTCGTAGGCATTGTGTTTTCTGATGTGATTTCCATTAGTTTATATACCCAAGGTAGTAGCTATATATAGTAATTTGCAATACATTCAGTGAATTTTTAAGACAATCAATTTAAGTTGCCTTTGGATCCACTATTTATATGGCTGCTATAAATCTCATTTCACCCCTATGATGTTCCTCATTGGGTAGAATTAGTTAGCAAAGAATTGTCTAATAAGGTCAATTTTAGAAAATCTTTTATAAATGAATGTTTGATCCTAGAAATGGTAAGAACTCCCACCTGATTAAAGTTGCTAGGCCAGATGATAGAATCCTCACTGACACTGAACTCTGTACCTTGACCTGTCCAGGGATTCATTTTTCCAACTTTTATTCTAGTAAATGATTTATTAGGAAAAGTTATGACATTTGTAATATCAAACCCAACAGTAAATTCTCCATACTCATTCAAGTGAATGAGTTCTCCAGCTGTGTTGTTAAATGAGAAGTTCTTTAGTATGTGATGGAGCTAGGAGAACAAAATTCATAACTAATTTAAAACAATAATTCTAATTTAGAGAGCTTTTTTTTAACTTATGGCTCAGTTATTTACAGCATAATTCTTGGTATGCTTACTTAAATGTTGTAATCCTCTCTGCTCGATAATAGTTAAAACAAGATATATTAATCCAATACTATTAGATTACAATAATTATTCGAAGAAGCTGGCCGGCATGAAGGGAGGAAGACAGGAGATGGAAGGTTGCACGGTCACCAGAGTGAAGGAGAAGGGGTGCCCTGGCGAAGGGATTAGTGAGGAGGAGCAGCAGTATGACTGGAAGATCTGCCTCTGGGGGCTGGAGGCACAGAAATGGCTGCTCTGCTCTCAGGCACTGGTGGCTGGGCTGTGCGGGTAGGCACGGAGGTGGCAAAGAACCTAGCACTGGCTGGCATGAATGCGCTGACGCAGAAACTGGATGAATTCTTCACTCACTTTGATATGGTCTGTCTGGAAGTCCTCTTGAAGATGGACCAAATATGCAACTAGTTGTTTAAAGATATGATAGATTCTCTTGAACTGAGTGCAAGTCCCAATGACTACATAGACATGTTTATTGGATGGTCTTGGCAATAATACAAACTTTGCTTAGAAAAAGAGGGTTTGGAAAGTTTGGGGTATCTGTTTGTGCCTACTGCATATTAATTGAATTAGACGAGCTTCAAAGTACAATAGGAAATATCCCACTGATTTACTTAATATATTGTCTATAGGATTGTCCATGGTTATACTATATTTCTATGGGTACATTGTTCATGGGTACATATACATTTTGTCCACAGCAAGATTTGTCCAAGTTTTATCACAACAAATCTTTTCAAACAGGTCTGTAAACATAATGCTGCTGTTGAAGAATTGTTTCTGAGGGGCATATAATTAAATCTGCTGAAATGTTTCTTGGCCATTTACTTAAAGTCACGTGTGTGTTTATGTAAAATATCAGACCAAACACTCCTCATTGTTCTTCTACTCACAATTATCTGTTGTAATTTTCCACTATTTTAAAGTACATTTATTTGTGCAAAAGTTCAATATAAAAATAACAGTGAATGACATTGAAAATTATTGTGGAGGAACTGCATGTCCATATGTTCTTCAGAATATTAAGAGAGGATATATATATATATATATATATATATGAGGTTCTCGTGGGTATTTGTATGTGGATCTTTGGTTATTCGGGTTTTCTCCCACGTAAGATTGGCAGTATCTAGGCAACGTTTCGATGAAGTCTCATTCATCATCTTCAGGCTTCTGTCTTCAGCTCTGTGCTTCTCAGAGTGATGTGAGCTTGCAGCTGCTTCTTCCTTTTAACTGCTAGTGGGGGTGTGACTTGATTGGGTGGGGGCTTGGCTGTGTTCTGATTGGGTGGGGGTGTGTTCTGATTTGTAGGGGGTTTGGCTGTGTTCTGATTGGTTGGGGGGTTGGCCGTGTTCAAAAAAGAAGAAACGACCTCTTCCCTGGTCCAACACCTCAAAGCCACAGGACATGAGATTGACTTTAAAAATACCAGAACTATCGCCAAAACTGAACACTTCAACAGCAGAATAATCAGAGAAGCCATAGAGATAGAAAAACGCCCACACAGCATGAACAAACGAGATGACACCTCCCGCCTACCAGCCATTTGGAAACCCGCCCTCATGAACAGACGAGTACCTAACATGAAGAAGGACACCAGACCCACACCCATGAGAGCCACACAAGATGCCACCACCACACTTCCATGTAGAAAACAGACTCACACCCACTCAGAAGATGAGACACGACCATGGACCAGAAACTGCACTGCAGCTGCATCACTACCCACTTCAAACCCCTCCGAGCCATACATGAAGCAAACCGACACCCACTATGAAGATGCAGCACGACCACAAACTCGAAGCCAAACAGCAAGATCACAGCTCACCAACTCAAATCCCCCAGCAACTAAGACTAACCTGAGCACAACCAAGCCCCCACCTGAACAGAACATGCCTCCAGCCAATCAGAACACGGCCAACCCCCCAACCAATCAGAACACAGCCAAACCCCCTACCAATCAGAACACCCCCCCACCCAATCAGAACACAGCCAAACCCCCACCCAATCAAGTCACACACCCTCTAGCAGTTAAAAGGAAGAAGCAGCTGCAAGCACACATCACTCTGAGAAGCACAGAGCCGAAGACAGAAGCCTGAAGATGATGAATGAGACTTCATCGAAACATTGCCTAGATACTGCCAATCTTACGCGGGAGAAAACCCGAATAACCAAAGATCCATATACATATACATATACATACATACATACATACATACATACATATCCACAAACATGCAATATTTACAAACTCATTTGAGTTAAAAGACAATGACCTGCAATGATGTCTTAATTTGTTATAGATATTTAAGAGCTATTACCTGCCATGGCTGCAGAATTCTATTTTCTATTCCCCTTCTGGCAAATGTTTTTTTGAATGCTGAAATGCTTGAATCAATGATGGATATAGAATTTGCCAAGGCATAGGCTGTATTGTAAATACTGTAACTGTGGCCAGTCATGCTCATTTCAAAGAAAGGCCCAGGTAAGCTTTCCAGCCTCTCTTCCCCAGTGCAGCTGTTCTCAATGTTTTCCTGAATATTAGTGTTTAGAAAGGAACAACCAAATGCCTGCTCCCAAAATGTCTGAATGAAGCCATCTCTCTTGACCAGATAGGGATTTAGGCTCTGAAGAAAAGCCTGGAATTCTGGCATTTCATGGGTGTGAGGTGTAAAGGCTAAAGCACCATGGAAGATTTCTAGATTCAAATCCTTATGTAAAACCAGTGCTGCAAAATCCAATTGTACTGCCATAATCCACACTTTACCAAATAATTTATCATCATCAGTATGTCCTGAATTCAGCACAATCATCAGAGATAACATGGTCCTAGTTTCTCCATGGACAAAAATAACATTGGCCTCACTCTTTATAACATCTAGTAATATTTTGTGCCATTTTATTTGTGCACTTGCATAGTCCTCGAAAAAAACTAATACAGAAATCCTTGCAATGAAGGCAGGACAGATGCCATTTTCAAAAAGTATTGGAAGCATGTTCTTCAAAAAAAGCTCCCCACCATCATCATTGAAGATCATTAGGCAAATCCATTTCCATCTGAAATGCAGAAGTAACTGGACAATTCCTTTGTACTGATAAATTTCATTTGGTACCAGCTGGTAGAGAGAAACAAAATGGGACTGATCCCTCATCATGGGAGCAAAATCACCATAACTAAACTGGGATTGAGGAAAAAAGTGAAATCATTTCTTAATTACCTTTGGAATTATATTTTATTCCTTTTGAAATATTAAGAACCTCTGGAATGATTAAGTTTTGATCACATTCACATCAAAATACTACTTATAGTTTTGCTTTTGGAATATCAAAATCAGGCTAGGTATCTGGATGGATTTAATATAAGAATTTGAAATTAATTATAAGAACCCTTGCCTTTAGAAAATGTAGTTTAGTTTTGGGGGAAAGTACATAAGATGGGATTTTGAATATCAGACATTGGAGGAAATCACACAAAAAAGCTAAAGATTACAATTAAAGGGAAAAAAAATAAAAATTACATGCTATTAGAGAATGGCTATTTCTATGGAGATTTGTGGATTAAAGATTAAAGATATATAAAAGATGTAGAGGAACATGCTATATTGTATAAGACTGGAATTGATTTGAATGGGTTTAAGCAAATTAGCAAGATAAATTACAAGACTGATACAAAAAACTGGATAAATAAATGAAATTGGTTCACATTTTAGTATTTAAAAGGGGCATGCAAATAAAAAAAACTAGGATGATTTGGATAATATTTGTTTACTGAATTTACAAAAGAAATCTTAAAAAATTGATTTTTTTTCTGAGAAGAGACAAAGAAAAATGAAAAGAAACTTTGAGGATATTATTTGAAGGGAATAAAAATAAAAATGTTGAAAATACAGAGAAGAAATATAGAGTTTGTTTGATTAAGGTTAAAATAGAACTTTTGCTGTCTAGGGATAAATGATGAGGTTTAAAGTTTTTGTTTGTATTTAAGGGATGAAATACAAAGAAAAGGGGGAATTTGTTGTTTTAAGAGACATTTGTTCTATTTTAAGATAAATTACTAAAATTATTTATTGTGACGAAGGGAAAATTATTTATATTTTTTTCTCTTTTCACTTTTATAGACTTTCTTTCCCCCCTTTCATTCTTTTGTTTTTTTGTTAATTTGTATTAGTTTTTATTTTTCTAATTGTAATCTGTAATAACATTTCTTTAAAAAGAAACACTGTAAGAAATTATTTAAATAATTAAGAATCAGCACCTACATGCTTTGTGAGTATTTAAAAGTGCACATATACCACATTGTTTTCAGTAAATATTTATCAGGTTCTGCTACATTTTTGTGTTGCCTATCTATTTTAAGCTCTTGGCAACAAATTTTAAACAAAAATAACTTTTTCCCAATTTTCTTTCAAGCGTTATTAAAAGGGAATTGAACATAAGTTTAAACAATTTTCAACAACTTCACTACTTTAATTTTAGAATCCAATTTATCTTATCAGCTTATTAAATTGGGAAACTTTTCAGCAATTTGATTCATGGCTTCTCTATGAAGCAGTGACAAGATTCAGTTCCACAAAAGCTGAGTAATGTATTCATAACTATGTTTTTACTTGTACCTATTATCTTGTAAGCAATTGACAAAAATAAATAAATAAAAAATAAAATAAAAAGGTGAATAATAGACATATCTATTGCAGGCTCTGAACTTGCCACTTACAAAGAAATCATTAAGAACTATATGATAATTAATTAGTCTATTTGTTTAACACTAGTCACAGTCAATCAGATGTTTAGATGGGAATGGCATTTTTTCCAACTACTGAGTCCTTCTGAAGGACTTGGAATAGGCAGATGCTTGATTGTATTAAAGCTATTGTCATAGAATATATGCTGATTATTGTTATTGCTAAATATGAGTGTTTTTTTTAACATCTCAGTGAAGAAACTTTCATTCTATTTCCTTTCTGACAGAAAAGTAAAACATTGTGATAAATCTAAAAACTTGACATTCTACTTTCTCTTTATACCTGAGGTAACTTATAGATGTTCATAATGGCAGCCAAATGTCGGGAAGTATCTGTGCCCAATCCCCCGATAACTGCAATCAGACTGCTCTGATTATTGCACTTATAATTAGGAATTAGTGTATGCGTTGCAGAGAAAAAATCTAGGGCAATGTGATAGTATCTCCTGGCACTGAAATAGCTCTCTGAGATGTGGAAACCCAAGGAAATATTAGGCAAGAAATGTTGATTTTCATTGATCTCAGTTACTGCAAATACCAAGGCTAACACATGCTGATAATTCTTTGTCACAACTCTGTAAAAAAGAAGGGAGGAAAGAAATTCCCAGTATTAGCAATTAAATAAATTGGATAGTTCTATGAACTGCCTTCTGTCTTCAAATTGTTCTAATTCTTATTACATAATGTTACTGATTATGTATAGAAGTTCAAATAAAGCAAATCGTGAAATATTTTACCAGTGTCTCTAGAAATAGGAAAGGTATTTATCAAATAGTGGGAGGGAAATGAATACTTAAAGAGACATTATTATTATTATGCTGGAACTACACTATACTACATAAAGTACTCCTGTGAGACATTGAAGTAAATAAATAAAATTTCAATGAAGAGTATGATTTTGATGGAAACATTATATAGCAGTAATTTATATTGCAAGGAACAGCATGGCACTAGAAAATATGACAGAACAAAAAAATACTATAAATACAGTAATAAGACAAGGGAATCAAGAACATAAGAATGAAAAATTGTTTTGAAAGAGATAATATTTACCCCCAAATCAAGAAAATTTAAAATGCAATGCAGAATGTACTTTTAATGTTTACTGACTGAATCATAGAATCCTGGTCAAGGAAGAAGGAAGAGACTAACTAAATTACAGGATGTCCAACAAAAGATTTCTCATCTCCATTTGAATGTATCCAATAATACATAGATACATTATCTATCTAAGTGACCAGCTACATGTCTTACAGTATAATAAAAAACTATTGTATCATTCATAGGTTTATCAATGAATTTGCTTCTCTTAAAGATTATCTATGGAGATTCTCAGTCATCCAGGTCATGGCTATCCCAAAGATGCATTTTCAAGACCAGAAAGCTTATATTCTATCAGATTCATAGAATGAATGGATTCATGAATGAATTAATACACAAACTTACAAAGGGAGAGTGGGAGCAAAAGAAAGTTCCATGTATCTTGTATACATTATTAAATGGGTTTATACATTCTAAAAGTAGAAAATTAAACTTTTAAATCAATAATCTAATGATTTATTAATATTTGAGATTAGTAGTATAACACAAACAGAAATAATTGACAGTGTATGAAGAAAATTGCACAAATAATATTAAAAAGAACAGATTCATTTTAAACAATATTCAGCCACAGGAAAAAGAAAAAAGAAAAATATACAGATTCTGGCTGCAGGGATGAAAGCCAAAATAGTGGAAGTTTTCTGACTTAACAGAGACAAAGAGAGATTTATAAGATTTGTTATTCATATACAGTATATATGTACTAAAGTGGAAGAACTCTCTCCAAGTATCACATATAGAAGAAATACATACAGAGAGGGTTTCCTGAGTTTTTTTTAAAGCTTGTACATAGACTTCTAGTCTGTGTTCCTTTGCTTCCTCAACCAATATTTTGGAACTGGAGACTAAGATCATATCAAAGGATAAACATTTTTCTGATCCTAGATCCATATGATATGGTGAAATTCAGTGACTCTTCCATGTTGAGGAGCCCAAGCAAGCCTTGTTGCTTCAAGGGAATCAGGATGGAGTTGTCTGCTGACTCTTAAGAAGGCAATGTCTTGGTGGATTTGGGATCAACTTTGGCAAGGCTTCGCCTAACTCCCCTGGGCTATAACACCAGTAGAAGACCTTAACAAGCCACTGCTTCCATGAAGGTGACACTGCTTAGGCTGAATCCCAATTACGGATTGTGGCTACAAAAGGGATAAAGAGATTTCTTTCTGATATGAGCAAAAAGGATGACAAGTGAGAAACCAAGTTTAAGCTTGGTTGTCATGGTCTGATTTTTTTCTGTATGAGTACAGTTGGAAGTCAGTATGAAAACAGGACAAGAGTAGAACCAGAGAAAGATCAAAATAGTCAAATGGGTTTTTCATTTTCATTTTAAAAGATCTGTTCTGAAGCAAAAGTATTATTAGTCCAAGTAATCCTATTATCTTGTAAGAAACCAAGGAGAAAGAAACAAGCAAACAAGTAATTAAAACAATTTATAAACTGTGAAAGAAAGAGGAAAAGCAGATGTGTCTCTGAAAAGCACACGAGTTTTGCCCAACTTAACAAATAAATGCTTTAACAGTCTTGAGATAATTATATCTATAGCTGTATACATCTACATCTATACATCCATACATTTATATCTATATCTATATAAAACTAATACATACTTACATTGGAGAGTCAACATCAGGGGCAGGATACTCCTTAAAAGAAAACTGATCTATAAATACTATCATTTGAGAAATGGTGCTACCAATCACAAAGTCACCACTTGTAAAATATTTATGAGGAATATAGACCCTGTTCTGAGTAGCACAAATAGCATCAGTATGTTCCCAGAATTCAAGGCATGGCATCTGAAGGAGAGAAAAAACTAATATTTTCAGCCACCCCATCTTGCTTTTCAGATCTTTCTAGGTGCACCACTCTGTCTTTGCAGTTCTATTTTATCAGATATATAGTTCTGCTTGTCCATCCTGAAAGGCATCTGACTTAGGTGTTGAAATATTTGAAGCTCTTGACAAGTTTTCTTCCCTCTAAAAATATAATAAAATCAGAAAATGATTTTTTTTAAAAATGTGAGTAAAGGAGTCCTGGATGAATTCTACTTTTCAGTATTGAGAAAAGCTTTTAAATACATTTTTGACAACTTTACTGTATGTGTAATGTTGCAATTTCAACAAATCCTCATGAGGGATTGATGAAAATTTGATGGGAGGAGCATATTGAATCATTCATAATCTCCAGAGATTTTTATGACAATTATGGGATATAAATGGAATAAAAAAGATATATGATTATTACCTCCCTAGAAATTTGGACTAAATGCCATTTTCTTTATAAAACATCACAGTGAATAATAATAATAAAAGTTAATGAGCGGTATTCTGATTTTCAGTTGTAAAGTTACTTAATGAAAAATATCCTTTTATGGAACTAGAGAAAGTTTTGTTTGTTGTGGTACTACCTATTGCATGTATGCTAGTTTGCGAAGTAATTTCATTTTTAATTCTGGAAAATCTTTTTATTTTTATCATCCATCTTTGAGATGTAGTAAAGAATGTTATTTTTATTGATTGTTAGGCAAAGATGGCAACTTTTTAAATTATGTGTGCATATGTTTACTTGGTAGTTATATTTGGCTTAATCTAATCTTACAGAACACCAGGTACGGAATTTAAGAAAGCACTGGCATCATTACAACTATATACAACTATATCTTTCCAAATGCAGATTTTTATTTCGCTGCTGAACCTGCCTTGCTTAAACATAAACAACACCTATGTCAAATTCCAATATTCAAACTTTGGAGCCAAATGTAATAAACATGTTTCTGAATAGCAGTTCTGCAGAAACATCATTAAGTAATTAGTAGTTATTTCCTCCTGTATTTATCAAGTGGAATGATTATGATTAATTCAGTTCTTGCCAAATCCCTGTAAAACTCTAACATTCGTCTAATATTTGGACTACTGAAACATATTTTCTATATACAACCCTTGCATTATTCTGAATTATAAATATTATTATATATCTGCCAGGTAAGGCTCTACCTTAAGAAAATACTTTCTCAAGTAATTATTAAGTAATTCGTTCTTTCAGGCAATTAAATACATTCAGGTATTATCAGTAATGCCTATCCATGCAAATGTTGGAATATTTGCAAAAAAGATGATGATTTTAGTGCTTCTGCCTCATATAGTATGCAAAGCAAATGCAGAGAGCTGCACTGTAATTGAACCAATTCCTATTCTGCACAAATATTATCAGTCAGGTAATTTCATTATTGGTGGCATTATTCCTCAAATCCTTAGGCCATATAATCCACTAGACTTCAATAAACATCCCCATCGTGCAATGATTGATGAGCTAATGTAAGTAATTAGGTTTTTTCACCCATGATATATCCTACTTAAGGTCACAGTCTAATCTGTTCATAATAGAATCATAATAGAATCATATATTTATTGTTAGTAAACCATTCAGTATATCAAAATCTCTGGTTTCAAGTCTATATGTGTCTTTGTCATTTTTTCCAACCATATGTGAATTTTAGTCCAATATTTTCTAGCGTCCTCACAAGTCCACCACGTATGGTAGTATGAGCCAGGTATCTGATGACATTTCCAGCACTTTTCAGATTTGTTCTTGAACATTCTTGCAATTCTTGTCGGGGGAAAATGCCACCTGTAAAACATCTTATACAAGTTTTCTTTATAAGCTGTTGACATTGTCATTTTATAATTTTGAGACCACAATTTTTCCCATTTCTCCAAATCAATCCCATATCCAAAATTCTTCCCCCAAACAATCATCATTTCTTTAACTTGTTCCTCCTCTAATATAATTTCCAACAAATAACTGTATAGTTTTTTAATCACTTTTTCATCAGTACCTGTCAAGATCCTGTCTAAATCAGTCAATTTGTCATAAAATCCCTCCATTTTAGAATCTATAAGATACCTTGAATGTATTTGCACGTATGAAAACCAATTCATCTTTATGCCTTGTTCTTCTAGTTTTTGCATTGTTTTAAGTTCACTCTTTTCACCCAATATTTCCCTATATCTAACTGTTTGTTCCTTCTCATATATTATAGGATAAGAAAAGGCTTCACTAGTTGATAACCAGACTGGGATTTTCAAATAACATTTTCTCTTAATTTTCTCCCAATTCAACCATAAAGACTCCCTTATATAATGCCTTCTAAAATAGCCCTGCGATTTAGTTCCCTTATACCACAGAAAAGCATGCCATCCCAGTAATAAATCATGTCCTTCTAATGTCAACAATCTAGTCTTTCTTAATGTTATCCATTCTTTAACCCACATTAAATTTGCAGATTGGTAGTACAACTCCCAATTCGGAAGGCCAAATCCTCCTCTAATTCTAGCATCTTGTAGAAGTTTTAATTTTATTCTGGCTTTCTTACCTTGCCATATAAACTTCAACACAATTTTATTTAATTCTTCAAAGTAATCTTTACCAAGCCTAATTGGTATTGTTTAGAACAAATATACAATTCTGGGTAAAATATTCATCTTGATTGTTGAAATTCTATCTATCAATGACAATTGTAGGTTTTCCCATTTCTTCAAATCAGATGCTATCTGTTGTTTAAGTTTAATATAGTTATTCTCTTTCAATGTAGTGCATCTTGACGTCAAATGTATCCCCAAATATTTAACCTTATCCGTAACTTGAATTTTCAGTAAATCTGCCAGTTCATCTCTTTGTTTTAGTAACATATTCTTTGTCAAGATCTTTGTTTTATCTTTGTTTATTTTCAAACCCGCCATCTCACCATACATCTCTATCTTTTCCAATAGTTTTAAAGCTGTTCCTAGAGGATCTTCCAAAACAAAAACCAAATCATCCACGAAGGCTTGCAATTTAAATTCCTCCTTCTTAATTTTCATTCCTTTTATATTTGGATCCTATCTAATGTTTCTATTCAACACTTCCAAAGTCAATACAAATAACAAAGGTGATAATGGGCATCCTTGTCTTGTGCCTTTTCTTATATTAATAGAGTCTGTAAAATCTCCCTCTATCATTACTTTTGCCATTTGTTTATCATATATGGCTTCTATTGCTTGAATAAATTTTCTAGCAAAGCCCATCTGTTCCAATAACAAAAACATGAATCTCCAGTTCACATTATCAAATGCCTTTTGGGCATCTAAAAATATCAAAGCCATTTGTTTTCAGGATGCGCCTCGTAATATTCCAAAGAGTCCAGAATTACCCTCATATTATCCCTAATTTGTCTCTTTGGCAGGAATCCATTCTGGTCAGGATGAAAAAAGTTATTTAGGTATCTTTTGAGCCTTTCTGCCAAGATGGAAGCAAAAATTTTATAGTCTGCATTCAGTAAAGAAATAGGTTTATAGTTCTTAATTTGTGATGGATCGGCCCCTTCTTTTGGAATAAGTGTGATATAAGCTTCTGATCATGTTTTGGTATTTTCTTATTTAACATGGCTTCATTCATAACTTCTAACAGTGGGGGTGCTCAACGATTCTTGTAATGTTTTATAAAATTCTGCCAGGAGCCTGTCTGGGCCTAGTGCTTTTCCATTATTCTGCCTATTAAATGCTTCCGTTAATTCCATCATTGTTATAGTATTTTCTAACATTTTTTCAGTCTCTTCAGATATCTTAGGTAGGTTAGCATTTTGTAGATAAAGCTTAATTCTTTCCTCATCAAAATCCTCCTGCTTATATAATTGTCCATAAAAGTCTCGGATAATTGTCTTTTTCTCCTTATTACCATAACACATTTGGCCTTGATCATCTATTAACTGTACTGTTTTCCTAGATTCTTTCTCCTTTCTCAATTTGTATGCTAGCCATCTACCTGGTTTGTTTGCATCTTCAAAATAGTTCTGTTTAGCACTTCTAATTTTTTGTGCCAATTCTTCTTTCTCTGCCTGACCCATCTTATGTTTAATTATATCCATTTTGAATTTAATATCTTTTTTCTGTGGCATATTCTGCAATTCTTTTTCCAGTTTTTTATAATCATCTTCTAAAGCTTTAATAGTTTGCCTCTTCCTAATATTCTTTTTCTTTGTATAGTCCATTATTAATCCTCTCGTATATGCCTTCATTGTATCCCAAACATTCTGCATTGAAGTATCTTCTTTTTTATTTTCACTGAAGAAGAAAGTCAATTCTTTGCCCATCCATTGTGTAAAACCTTTTTCCTTTAAGATAGCATTGTTTAGTGTCCATCTAGATCTTCTTCTTTGTCCTTTCCATTTAATTGTCATTGGATTATGGTCTGCCCATATACCCGTTTCAATATTTATTTCTTGAATATTAGATATTAATTCTGATGAAGTCCAAATCATATCTATTCTGGACCATGATAAATGTCTATTTGAATAAAAAGTATATTGTTGGGTTTTACCATTTCTTTCTCTCCATATATCTTTTAAGTTTAATTCATCTATCATTTAAAAAAAGGATTTAGGGAGAGTCTTTCTATTTTGTTTTGGTGCTGTCGCTGTATAGTCCAGTTTATTATCTACAATTCCATTGAAATCTCCCATCATAATTATATTGACATAGTCCAGTCCAATTGATTTCATATGTAACTTTTTATAAAATTCTTCTTGTTTATCATTCGGAGCATAAATTGCAACCAGCAGTGTTTTTATATTGTTATCTACTATTTCAACCATTAATACTCTTCCGTCTTCATCAGTATAAATCAATTTTGCTGCAATAGT